GGGGGGGGCAGAGTTACCTGATCATGACCCCAGTGGGGCCCTCAGATGGAGTCTGGTACCACCCCGCTCCCTGGCTGGCCTGCTCTCTTTGGCACCTGCCCGTGAACTTTCAACTCCTGGTCTGACATCCGCACACACACGCTTGCTCTCTGGCTGGGCATTTTCACAGTACCAATGAGGCCAGATGCCCCTTTCCCTGGAGCTGTGCAGGAACTGGGGCTAAATCTGAGCTGTCAAAAGTCCCTTTGTTCCCCTTTGGGGACAGATCATGGGACTAGGATTTGGCAAATGGAAACATTCCCCTGAAACATGGACAGAGCTGGGTCCCCAGGGCATCACCCTCCTCTGCCCTGTGCCTAGGAGGGAGACCTGACCGGGGTGGGGTACCCAAGGCCAGTGCTGGGGACGCAGGCACTGCAGAGGCAAGCACGGAATAGGCACTCCTCAGGCCTGCCCCAGTCTTTGTACAAAATATTCCCAGGAAAAAAGAGGGAAAGGAAGGGCCCAGCCCTGAGTCTGTTGCCCAGACAGACAGGGAAAGGGTAGGCATGGCAAGCTGCCATTTTAATCCCTCAGACAGGAGGGCTCCTTCCGCCTCTGCTGATGTCCCCCTCCCCCCGCCGGCCCTCCCAGCTCCCAAAAGCTGGAACAAAGAGGCAACAGCCCTATCCCAGTTAGAAAAGTAGAAGTCACTTGCATAATCCTCTTGGTATCCCTTGTTCACCAGCCTGAGAGCAGACGAGCATGGTCCAAACACAGCCTGCTGGTGTGCTCCCTTCTGTGGTCAGCAGGGTCTGGAGGCTTCGTGCCCCCTGCCACGGCTCCACTGAGCGAGCTCAGAGTCCACTCAGATGCCCACCTTGGTCCTGACAGCTGAATTTGTAGCTGGGCCCTGTTAACTGGGGGGGCCCCCGTTGAGGAAGTAGGTGGTCATCTCCCCCTTGCCCTTCACCTTGACCACCCCTCGACACTCCAGCTGGTAGCCTTTGGCAGCTAGAACCTGGTACAAGTCCGTGGTCACCTGGGGGATGGGAAGGGAACCCATTTAGCCTGGGATCCTTCCTGCTGCATTTGTAGGGGTCCAGGGGTTCTCTAATCATGCTAACCCCACCCCAAACCGCACCCACCCCCAACCACAGAACACTGCCACCCTACCCCTGTCCTAGCTGACCTCAGAGAGGGACCTGCAGAAGCCCTCTGGACCCATACCCTTCCCAGCCTCTGCCCACATCCCCCTCACCTGGATTCGGTCAGGGACCCCCGTGCTGTCCATACGGCTAGAGACATTCACTGTGTTCCCCCAGATGTCATACTGCGGCTTCCGAGCCCCAATGACGCCTGCCACGACTGGGCCCATGTTCAGCCCTGAGATGGGAACAGCAGCAAAAAACTGAGACTAATGGACATTCCAGGGTCAGCCCAGGGAGTCATCCCGCCTCCTGGAACCTTTAGAAGGACCCAGAGAAGAGAGTGACAAAGGGACAAGTGTCCTGGTTGTAAAAAATGGCAGATCTGGGCATGTCCTGAGGCGCTCCCCTGAGTTAAGACAGCCACTGCCATAACAGTAGCTAAATCCACTGAAAGCTCGCTCTGCGCCAAGCCCTCCGGGAAGCATTTTGCATTCCATTACTTCATTCCCCTCAACAGCCTTCAACGGTAGGTATCATGCCCATTTTACAGATAGCCTTCGGGAGCTGAGAGGAGTTGGGCAACGTGCTAAATAAGCCAGTACGTGGCACAGCCAGAGTTCAAACCAGAGTGACTCCAGAACCCATGCTGTTAACCGCTCCTCCCGCCCACCAGCTCCCAGCTCATCTCAGAGGTGCCTTTAGACTGGCCATAGATAAGGACACGGGGACTGGAGTGTAAATAAACCTGGTTTTGAACCCCAGTGCAGCCATCTACTAGCTGTTTGGCCGTGGCCAAGTTATTTTAATCTGAGAGTCAGTCTCTATCTGTAAGAGGGGATGACAACGTGAAGACTAAAATGCCTAGGACAGGGCCTAGCACACAGTAGGCCCCCAATAAATGATCTCTGTTCTAAATGTGAGACAAGACAGGAGGTGGGAGAAAAGGACATCCCAAAGGATTCCTGATGGGGCATCTGTGACGCCGTCCCTAGCCTGCTTCCTTGGCCTCACCCAGGAACAGCCCTGGGAAAAGCTCCCAGGCAACCAGGCCATCTCACCAATCTTCATCTGGAAATTGTTGAAGGAGTGCTCATTGATGTGTTTCATCTGCTCCATGAGCCGCATGGCATAGTCGGCCAGGGCGGTGATGTGGGAGCGGCCCGCCTGATCATAGGTGCTGGCGTTCAGGCCTGAGGCCGCCATGTAGGTGCTACCAATCGTCTTGATCTTCTCCAGCTGCCGGAAGCGCTCCTCGCTGATGATCTGGCCAGCACGGGGAGACCTGACTGTCAAGGCAGAGGCCAAACGCACGCACGCTGCCCGATGCTCACTCCTGCCCTGCCTCGGCCTCTTCCCCCTTCCCTGTTTCAACAGCTCCCCTCCTTCGAGTGAGTGTGCCCCCGCTTCCAGCTGCTGTTCTCAAGGCGGGACCGAGGAGCCAGAACACAGGCCTCCCTCGCCAGGCAGTCAGCAGAACCCCAGGCCAGGACTTAACGCGTACAGCTTCAGCTCTGCTTCAAAAGCTCCCTCGCAGAATCCGGAACCACAGAAGGGATATTAGCCACCAGTTATTCTAACCGTCACTTTTCGGGAAACTGAGTGCCAGAGTGAAGAAGTGACTTGGCTCCAAAACAGTTAATGGCCCATTCCTGACCTGGACGTTCAGGATACTTCCTCATGCTTGTTTCCATTTTCTCTATTCAGGGGCCCATCTTGCTTCCTTGGGCTCACATGGGGTTCTGTCCACAGACCACTGCTTTCTTATTCAGTAACATCCACCTGGTACCTATCCTGTCCCCTCCACAGAGCCTCATGTCCTTTGCTCCCCAGCAGTGACAACCCTGCCCCACTGAGGCCGAGCTCCTTGCTGCCTTGGACAGCCTGGTGGGTCCTTGTCCTTGCCTCTGCTGTACCTACCCTTACTCCTACCCCGACGTCTCTGGGTCCCATCAACCCTCCCTCCCCACCCCAATCCAGCTTCCCCTCCAACCCCGGCCATCCCATCCGAAGTTCTCCCCGCTCCCCTAGCCCCGCCAGCTGCTCGGCCAGCAACAGCGGCCAGACAAGCACCTCATCGAAGTCGGCGATGATCTCGTTGAGCAGCCGCAGGCACTCAACACCCTCATTGTTGGCCTCCAGCTCCACGTAGAACTCGGAGAAGTTGGCGATGGACGCGAACATGACGGCCACGCACTCGCACGACTGGTAGTAGAGTTCGTCGTTGCGGCGCTCCCGGGCCAGGAAGTGGGCGGCCACGTCCTTGGGCAGGATGTTGTGCAGCAGCCTTCGGTTGTAGGCCTGCAGCTCCTCCATCTCCTCCTTCTCCCCTGTTGCCTGTGGACACCACAGCCATCACCCATTGCCCAACATTCACAAGGGGTGGGTAGAGCGGCCGATGCCTGGAGACAGGCATCAGAGGGAATCACAGGGAAGGAGAAAGGCATGGCCGGATGAGACCTAAAGAACAAGCAAAGGGGTGAAGGGCACGGACAGGATGAAGCAGGGGTTAGGGGGTGGGCGCAGAGAAGGCTCGGAGCCAGAGTGGGCTTGGGCGGCCCGAGCCTCGGCCAGCTAACAAGATGCACTTCTGGCTTGGCCCAGGTTCCGTCCCCAGGACCCTCCCCCTGCCCCAGAGGCCCGTGCTCGGTCACCTGCAGCTTCCAGAGGAAGTCCAGACGCGCCGTCGATTCCACCTGCTGGGCATGCAGATACAGTGCCAGGGCGAACACCAGCAGAATCACTGGGGTCATGTACTTGAGCGCCACCCTCCCCGCAGCTGGGCTGAGGGGAAGCAGAGGCAAGCTCAGTGTCTGGAAGAGGCACCGGGCAGCCCCACCCTGCCCCGCCCCAGAGCCCCCACTCACCAGTCCAGCCCATCGAAAGTCTCATTGGAAGAAGCCCTGGCAAGAAGATACAAGAAACAAAGTCATCGGCTCTTCTTGGGTTGCTGGGTGGGGGCAGAGGGAAGGGGAGGCAGAAACTGCATTTCCTGAGCACAGAGCACAAAATCAGGCACAGGGCCAGGGCCTCTGCTTACACGAACTCGTTAAAGAGCAGAGGTTAAGAGAAGCTTCCACTCCTGGCTCCTCGACTTACCTGTCCTGTGACCCGGTACAAGTTGCTTAAGTCTAGGCCTGTTTCCTCATCAGTAAAAGAGGGACGAGATCTAAGTAACACGCACAAGAGGCCTAGCGCGGCGCCCGGTGGGCAGGAAGGCTTCAACAAATGTCAGTTACCACAGTCTTTACAATCACCTATGACACAGGTGCCACCGCCATTTTACAGATGAGGAAACTGAGGCTCAGAGACGTTAACTCACCCGCCCAAGGTCACACAGCTAATGAGCAGCAGAGCGGGATTCAAACCCAAGTGGACCCCCAAGAGGGAGTCCTTCAAAACCCAAGAGGCTTTTCCTACCACCACACCAAGCTATGGCCCCATATCACAAGGGGTGGGGTTTGCAGAGGAAAAGCCAGTGTGGTAACCCCGCCAAAGCCCCTAAGCAGGAGTCAGACGTCTTGGTTCCCAGCCAGGGCTCTGCCACAAAGCAGCTGTGTGACCTACAGGTGGTTAAGAGAATGCGTACGAAGGAACCATGCAAATGAGAGAGGGAATTTTTTTTAAATGTCTGGCCTGAAGATATAGGGACTTCCCCGGACTGGGGTTTCCTTGGGGTGACTGTGAAGTCATATGCTGGGAGCTCCTCCCCTGCCTCCTTTTCTGCCACAGGTGAGGGCTGAGTGGTAGCATTCCAAGGGCACAAGAGGCCTGGGCACCAGAGAGACTCACAGTGACCAGCAGGGTCAGGAAGCTCCTAGGGGATGAAAGGGGCTGAGGATAAACTCACAAGCCATGGACACCAAGCAGCAGGTCATAGTTGTCAAAGATGGTGGCTGGGGGGCCCAGCAGAAGCAGCACCAAATAGATGAGCCCCAGGACAAAGATCATGGCCAACTTCCCGATGCTACTGATGTGCAGGAAGACAGAGCTGGCCAAGAGACTCAGCAGCATGTTCCCAACGAAGTACTGGGGGGCGATGGCAGAGGTGGTGTTGGATGAAGCCGCGGCACCCCCAACCCCATGCAGGAAGAGCACTCCCCTCCACAACCTCAAACCCAAAGCTCCTTCAGCCTCCGCACCCCGCCCCCCAGCACACTGGGGCCCCTGGCTGCTTCTGCAGCAGGGACGCTGGTGAGACCCGGACCCCGGTGCCCATCGCCAGGCGTGACACAGAGGAGTCAACAACGAGTACTGATCGGGACCGCCCCCCCCGCCATCCCGCCTGAGCACGGCTTGGACACCTCAGGGAAGCTGCAAGTGGGTGCGGTGCCCTCACAGAGGGGAGCATCCAGGCCCAGAGAGTAATTGAGCTGCTGCAGGTGGCAGGCAGTGATGTCAGCGGGTGTTACATTCAGCATCCGGGCTGCACAGGTCCGTATGGGGGTGTGGTTACAGGTGAACTGCAAAAGTTGGGGGAGACGTATCAGGGTATCGCGGAGGGGAGCATTTACAAGGGCCATGCCCCCGTGCCTTCTACCCTGGAGGTCAAAGTTCTCACTGAGGGTGACAGGAGGTACAGAGAGCAAGGAGAAAGGGGGACTCGAGTTAACCTCATCCCCTCCTTTGGGATAACGAGAGCTCTCGGAGGGCAGGAAATGGGTCTCCTTCCTCTGCCTACCCCCAGGGCCCAGAGCAGTGCTTGGCACAGATGAAGGGAAGAAGAATCCCCACTGGACCTTTACCATGTTGGCGATGGCAGAGGTGAACACAAGCAAGACTGAAAAGATGCCAACCCCAGTGCTGTGTGCCCGAGAGCGGACGATGCTGCGGGAAAGACGTCGCAGGGCCTTGGGGAAGAGCTGCGGACGGGCCAGAGACCGGGAGTTAGAGACCACATCAGCCAAGGGGTAAGGCCAACGAGGGACGGGGCCTGGGGGCGGGGCGGGGGCCGGGGAGGCCTGGCCTTCTCCTCCCTGTCCCCACGTGCCTCACCAGCCCAGCCCAGCCCGCCCTCCCCGACCAGCCCTGGAAGAACCCCCGACGTACAGAGCCGCAGGAGGGCACGGCACAAGTCAGCACGGTGATCAGCAACAGCAGGAAAATACTGGCATAGATCCCAAGCATCAGTGTTGAACTGGGGCAGAAGAGGGCCAGGAAAAATGTTACTCTGGAATAGCTGGGCTTCCTTGTCCCACTCTCCAGATGGGCAGGGTGCGGGCTCCAGGGACCGTGAGCTTGCATGGGTGTTTAGGAAGGTTCTGGGAAGTGGTGGAGGGAAGAGAAGCAGAGTGAGGAGGGACAGGGCTCTCACTGTGGGAAGACGAGGAGCTGGATAAAGCAGATGAAGCAGAAGACCAACAGCGCACAGGCCACGTAGGCTCCGAAGCGGGGGTCCACCTTCCGTGAGTACTGAGGGAGAGGAGGCTGAGCTGGGTGCTGGGCTCTGCCCTGGGGGAGGCAGGGCACTCCCAGGGGCCTCAAGGAGGGGAAGCAGTGGCCCAGTTGATAGGAATCCCCCCTGTGCCCTGTGGTCGCCCCTCTCCCCCCATTCCCAAAATAACCTCTCCTGTTCCCTCGGTTGTGCTCAGCCTTCCCTGCCTGGACCTCCCCTCCTCGCCTGGCCCTCGTCCCTCTGCCCTCAAATCCCCCAAACCTTCTTTTCAAGGTCCTCTCTCTGGAAGGTGAGCAGGAAGCGGCGCACGTGGTCCTTCCGTAGCTGATCGATGCTGCGGGCATCGATGGCACGGCCCAGGAACTCATCTACCTCGTCCTCGGGGTTCAGGGCATCTTGGGCACCCCGGCTGAGGGCAGGGGACATGGCTTCACCAGGGGCATGAGCAGTGCCACGTGAGAGGCAATGAGAAGGGAAGGGCATGGGCAGCACCCCAGAACAGAGTGAGCGGGGGTGCGGCCCCTGCTCCCCCATGACACACCTAAGATCCAGGAAAGAGGGGGCCTCGGCTCCCCGCAGCCCTGTCCCAGGGTGCAAGTGCCTTCTCCCCTCCTCTTCCTCCCTCCTCAATCACCTGACTTACTTGTCTTTGCTGGAGTCATCAATGCCCTGGAGAAAGGGACAAAGCGTGCCGGTGAGGTGAAGGGCAGACCACCCTCACCTCCATCATCCCTTCCCCCTCCCCAACAGCATGCTGAGGGGTCCCCCCATGTACTTTGCGGGGCTCGGGACCCCTGGTATGAAGTCATCCCTCCTGCTCCCAATACCAGAAGTCATACGTGGAGATGCAGGAGCCACAACAAGGAAGGAAGAGAAAAGAAGCGGGGCACAGAGTGTCAGGAAAATGAGGCCTCAGGTGCTAGTGCTGCGAGCCCCTCACCATCTGGCGGAAAGCCTTGGAGTCCTTGGTCCGGGAGAAGGCACGGTCGGGCACCCAGCGTGGCATCAGCCCTTCCATGGAGTTGGCCCGCGTCCGCTGCAGCTTGGCCAGCATGGCCTTCTCCTCTTTCTGTGCAGGCAGCCGGGTGCAGGATCAGAAAAGGGGCCCAGAGAAGAAGTCTGTCTGCTCCCCACATTTGCCCTCCTCCCTGCCTGCCTCCCCCCCCCCAACACCCCACCCCGGCCTGACCCGTTTCTGGCTGGCTCCCAGGATGAGGAAGGTCTCGATGTGCTGCTCCTTGAGGTAGGCGTTACGCTCACCGCCGCGGCCTGGCTCCACCTCGTAGTCCCCGTTCAGGTACTGCAGCGTGGCCCGGGTGATATGGATCCGGCTGGGAGGGAACAGGAGGGTGAGGCCTGGGCTTGCCCGCCTCATTCCAGTCCCTCACCACCTGGATCCCACACTCACCCGGCCCGGCCCCCCGCCTCCATGTGGTTGGCCAGCGTCACGTCATTGGACCACACGTCGAACTGCCACTTCCGCAGGCCAAGGACGCCACAGTGCACACGCCCGCTGTGGATGCCCACGCGCATGTTCACGTTCACGCCGGTCACCTCACGCACCAGCCTGGGAGGAGGCGGCTCCAGTTCAGCTCCTGGCACAGTCCTCCCCACTCCCAGCCCAGAGCTCAGGCCCTTCACTCCCCTCGGAGCCAAACAGACAGGGACAGACCCAGACGCGGGGCACAGGAGCACAGCCCTTGGCTGGACGTGGGCAAAAGGCTGCCAGGGTCTCAGGGACAAATGTTTGAGGGCTGTGCTCACCGGCTGTGGCCCTGCAGCATCCTGTGGAACTGAGCCAGAAAGGGGGGAGTCGCTGTTCTCCCCTCAGGCCAGCTCAGCTAGCGCTCGCACCAGCCCAAACGCCCTCACGCTGGCTCCCCTACCCTGCCCGGCTGGCTGGGGTCTCGGCCGCACAGGCTCAAGAAATATGCATTCCCCTCCCCGGTGATGGGCCTCCAAGACAGAGAAATAGCCACAACTGAGAAAAAGTCCTGAGGACACGTCAAAGGGTAGGAGTCAGCGGGGGCACCCTTGGTTCCAGAAGGCCTGGGAGGGGCACCGCTTACGAGATGGCCTCGATCATGTCCACGCCCATCTCCACACAGCAGTGGGCATGATCTGCCCGGGCCTCCGGCAGCCCCGACACACAGTAGTAACAGTCCCCTAAGATCTTGATCCTCAGGCAGTGATTTTCCTAAAGAGGAGAGTTGGGGAGAGTCGCTCTCACTCTCTTGCCCGCCCAGCACCCTCACTGAGTCACCACCTGTCCCCACCGTGCCAGGCCGCCCCAGTAAGGCTACGCTCTCGCCACCCCCAGCCCCAGCCCCCTCACCGCAGCCAGCTTGTCAAACCGGGCAAAGAGCTCGTTCAGGGTCATGACCAGCTCCTGCGCGGTGCACTGGGATGCCAGGCTGGTGAAGCCTTCAATGTCTGCAAACAGGATGCTGTGGACAATGGCAGAAAATGGAAGGACCACGTGGCACTCCAAGACTCCCGGGCTCCTCCCCCTCCCCCCCTACCTGACATTGTCATGCTTCTGGATGTAGATCTTGTGGAACATCATGTCTTCTTTCTTTGTGTTGATATCTTCTTTCATCTCCATGGCAACATGCTGGGGCAACACGGACAGCAGCAGCCGTTCCTAGACCAGCGGTTTCAACGGGGCACCACTACCTTCTCGGCCTCACGCTGCGATCCCTCCTGATGCCTCCACCACCCCAGGGCCCTCCCAGAGCCCTCTGGAGACCTGAGCTTCCCTCCTGGACCTCCCCCATGAGAGCCTACAGCAGATACACGCCCCAGCCTGCTCTGAGCACCCCCGTGCAACCCCTCGCTTGTGCTCCCTGCTGCCCTCTCCCACCCTCGCACAAGACAGGACCCCCAGCGTCACACAGCCTGTGTGATGCACGATCGGGGGGACCACCGTCCACACTTATTCCATGGAGTGGTACAAGGCAGCGGACCCAGTCTGCGGGTTCTTTGGGGGTGAGGACGGGAAAGGCCTTGGACAGGGAGAGCAGCCCCACCTGCTGCCGATTCTCATGCTGCAGGTGCAGCCGGGCCTGGATGTAACCACGGGTCTCCTGAAAGGCCTGGCGCTGAGACACCTCAGCCGGGTAGTGCGTGCAGATGCCGATGACATTGGTGCAGACGAACAGCAACATGCTGGCACCCAGCTGCAAGAGGGCGGCAGCGGCAAACGCGTGACCACCCCCACCCCCACCCCGCGCAGGTGCAACTTGCTAGGCTCTCTGTGCATGCATTCCCTCGGAGGAAGCCAGGATCCTGTGCCCTGTCTGTCCCCGAGCTGTCCCAACCCCTGTAACATATCTCCCCCTTCTCCCACAGGACCGGCCCCCTGCCCGGATCACTCCACAGCTGGAAATGGGACCTTTTCACAACTCCTGGGAGCAGAAGCGCCAACCAGGGCAAGGTGGGTCATGGGGCCTGTGCCCAGCACACTATGACTTCCTGCCCCACAGTCAGCCCAAACAAAAAACAAATGCTGCTCCTTCTGCATGTGGATCTCCTCACAAGACAACACCCAGGAGACTTGAGCTCTATATCCTCCTATGAATGCCCAGGACAAGTCACCTCATCTCTCTGGGCCTCTGTATGCTCATCTAGAACCTGGAGAGGGACAACAAGAAGATTTCTAAGGTCCCTCCCTGCTCTGACATAACTTGATATAATAATTACTACTACTATTATTATTATTATTAGTTGGCTAATTTGTTGGCTGCCTATTTAATATTCCTGACTTCTATAGCTACCTCATATACAGTAACGGATTTCTCCTAACTCTATGAAACAGATAACAGCATCTCATTTTAAAGGTAAGACGTTCCAGCACAGAGACGCTAAATAACGTGTCCCAAATCACACAGCTAATAGTGGCTGGTGTGGGACTTGAATCCAGGACAGTCAGACTCCAAAGCCTGTGTCCAAACCCTACTGCACGGTACTTCCAAGATTCCTACACACCCCACTCACCCAAGCTCTTGAGGCCCAGCCTCAGAGACCAGGCTTGGGAGTCCTCAATTCTACTAACGTTGGACCTTCCCTTCCACCTGGGAAGGGTTGCCACCATGCCCCGGCACTCCCAATTCTTGGCACAGCCAGGCCGCATGCCCTAGGACCCCGATCTGAGGACGGTCAGCCCTCCTCAGCATCAGTAGCACTCACCGGAGAGGAAGTCTAGGGAAAACTGGCCTCAGTGTTTCTGGAAATTCAGGGGTTAACCTGGCACCTGTGGCTCCACCCCAGAGTTGGCTGGGGCAGGGTTCTGGTTTGGGGAGAAGGGAGGGAAAGAGCACTAACTGGAAGCCAGGAATTCTGGGCTTTGCCCAGAACCAGAACTAGTCCTGCAAACTTGGGCAGTCACTTAATCTCTGGGGCCTCAGTTTCATGTTTCTTAGGTGAAATGGAGGGGTAGGTTCAGCAAACCCCCAAGCCATTTCTCGCTCTGACCCTCTAGGAACGGCCTCCTAGCTTCCCTTCCCAGTCCAGCTCACAAGGCCCCCCTCCCAGCAGCAGGGCTGAAGAGGGGGGCACACTATCTCCCTTAGGGGTTTCTAAGAATAGCCCCCAGTGGGGGAGAAGGAGGGGGGGGGTTAACCAGGCAACTTCCCTTCCTGGCCCCAGGAGCCCAAGAGGAAAAAGTGAGTCATGGGGGAGGGAAGGGGAAGGGGGACGAGAGACTGAAATAGATCTGTACGGAGACCCCTATCCGACTGTGAGAAAAAAGGGATGCCAGGGCACTCTAGGAGACTCCAGGAGGGGCCGCTGGGTGAAACCGCTCAGTGCGTCTAAATGAGTGGGTCAGAGGAGAAGGAAGGCTCCTTCCCGTGAGCGTGAGCAGGGCTGGATCTGGAAAAGGGCTGTGCAAGGAGCCTAGAAAGGAGGCCACGGCCCCAAGCCATCCAGACTCGCAGAGGCCAACTGGACACAGGGACGCAATCCTTCTCAGTTCAGAGAAGGGTTATGGCGACCCTGGCTCCGAGGACGGGCACAGGGGCAGCGGTGACTTTCCCCACTCACCCTAAGAACGTGCCTGCTGAGACCTACTGGGTCAGGCTGCAGCTGGGTGCCCCTGGGGAGGCAGGAGGCTGGCACAGTCCTGGCCTCCATGGGGCTGCGCCTCCCCAGTCAGGCCCTGGGCCTGGTTCTGGGCACCATGCCAGCTAAGAGCAGAGAAGAGACACCCACCCACCCCTGGCCAGCCAGAGAGAAGGCGGGGGCGGGGGGGGGTGCTGGGGAGGCACCACCCCCAAGCTCCTCCTTCCCCAGGAGGGTAGTCCAACTCCAAAGCCCAGTGCGACAGCTACCCTGGTGAGAAGTTGGGGGCCAGCAGAGACAGAAAGACCCTGGCTCTTTAAGAGGTCTGACTGCCCTGTGGGTGCGTGCTCCACAAACAAATGGGCTATAAAGTTACTTTTAAAAAGGTACATTCTGTTCCAGAGCACAAGCTGGGCGGAGAAGGGCATCATGCCAGAGCACCCAGCTTCTCACCCTGGGAGCCCCAGGCAACTTCCTCTTTGTGGGTGGGGCTAGGGTGGGCTACAGGCCACAAGCCCTAGGCAAGGCAGAGGTGGGACTCCCTCAAAACTTGAGCAAGACAGAGGACAGCACCCTCAAAATCAGGGTGCCAAGAGAGGGATCATGAGATACGTTGGTTAGGGGCTATGCCCTGAAGGATCAGCTAGGCAAGATGTCCTGGTCTCTGCTCCCTGGTCAGGGGGATGACCCAAGATGGCAGACTCCACAGGCTCTGGTCTCTCTGAAAGCGACTTCCAGGAAGGCCCTTCCCTGGGTACCAATCCCTACAGCACTCCCACACCTCCCTGCCCCCAGGTTCTACTCCACTCTGGGAGAGGGTGGGGCCCTAACAGCAACATCATGAGGTAGATACTATTTTTATCCCAGTTTTACAGACTGGGAAATTAAGGCTGGGAGAAGTGAGGTTTGTTGTCTAAGATCTCACAGAGAGGAACTCAGCCCATTGGACCAGCAGGTCTGCCCACAGCCAAGCCGTGATTTCTCCCTCAACACCGTGCTGTCAAGCCCCACCCCACACACCACTCAGAACCCAGATACAGTAGCTGGCATGGACAGAGAACCTCAAGGCAGGGCTGCCGGAGCCCTGGTGCTCAGTGGGAGGACGGCGGGGAAGAGATCCGACCCTGACGCCCCTCTTTTCTACAGTCCAACTCCACTCAAACCACGCCCAGCCCCGGAGAAAACTGATCCCACTCGTCACCCTCCCTGTCCTCTCAGAGATCGCCTTGGTCCAGGAGAGAAGCAACTCCTCCCTTGCTCACTCCCTCCAAACCCTGCTTGATCCCTCCAGATCACCACCTGGAGCTGCTTTTCAGGGATGGCACCGGGCCTGAGTCTCAGGTATCAACTTGGGGCCAGAAATGCCAAGGCCTGCCGTAGCCAACAGTGCCCTCTCGGCCCTGCCCGGGGCCCCGGGGCTGAACATCACCGTCACAGCTCCAGTGCTCCCTCACGTCTATGGGCTACGCTGCTTCAAGGGCCTCAGGCTAAAGAGCTGCAGACTGGGGCCTGCAGAGCACAGGCTTGGGTCCGGGGGCCCTCCCTCCCCTCAGCAGTGCCCTCAGCTCCAGATCCCAGATGCAGCCCACCCCTGAAACTTGGCCTCCCGTCATTTGCCCCGGCCCCAGTATCCACCCCCACGACCCACACCCCTGCCACCCCCGGTCACCAGACCCCTTCTCATTCCTGGCCTGGTGCCCCAAGGCCCACCTCCCCGACCACCCACCTGCTTCCAGAGGAAGGCGTCGCCGCGGTTGAGTTGCCAGGCCAGGATCAAATGCAGCGTGGAGAGGCCCAGGCCACTGAAGACCGCTGCGCGCATGCGGATGGGGAGGAGCGTGTAGGTGATGTAGACAAAAAACACAGGGCACCAGAGGCCCACGGAGGGGCTGCGGGGGGTGGCCGCCAGGGCACCCCCCACCTGCACAGCTGCCAGGATGCCCAGCACCACGTAGCTCACCACCCACATGGAGTCCTGGCGGAAGCTGTGCCGGTTGCACACCACCATGAGCGCCACGAAGAGGGTGGCGGCGCCGGCCAGCAGGGCCACGTAGGCGGGCTGAGGGCGGGCGGGCGCCGCGTGGAAGGCGAGCAGCACGGCGGCCAGCAGCACCAGCACGGCCATGAGCAGCGTCAGGCTGCTCTGGTTCATCTGGAAGAAGTACCTCTGGTACAGGCGCTCCAGCTTGGCCGAGCGGAACTGCTTGGACTGGAACACCTGGGCCAGGCGCCGCCAGCAGGACCGCCGACGCCCGGCTGTCACGTCAGGGGCCACGTCGGCCGTCGCCTCCGTGTCCTCAAAGCCCAGGGCCACCGCGCGCAGCCCCAGCTCCGGGCCCTTGCCTGGGCCACCCCTCCGGACGAAGGCCTCGTCCTGCCAGGGGCACCGAGGGGGGGCTGCAGGGGGGGGGCTGGGGGGCTGTGCGTCCCGGAGGCAGCTCACATAGCGGGGCGTGCAGAAGCCACCGGTCCGGGTCCCACGGCGGGGACGCTTCTGCCCATTGCGCTCACCCCAGGCTGTTTTCCGTTCATCCACTTTGGGGACCAGGAGGCCACTAAACCACGACATGCTGCTGGGAGAAAGGAACGAGTTGGTGTTAACACCACCATCACTCCCTACCGCCACCAGCAGCTATCATAAACTGAGGACGTTCCCGGCCAAGCTAGGCCCTTCAGACAACATCTCACTCAAATAAAATCCCGGAGGAGGACGATGGTGTCCCCCTTCAACAGGCCAGGAAACAGGAGACACAGGGAGAGAGGTAACTGGCCCTAGACCAAGGAACCACAGAGCTGTGAGAACCGAGATTCGAACCCAGATCTGCCAGGACGCGTATGCGTTCACCTCTTCCCTAAAAAGCACTGATTTGTGGGCGGTGACAAACTCAAGGGCCTGTGTCAATGAGCAAAGGCTCCCCCCGGCTCAGATGTGGGAGGAACTACGGAGTGCCCGCCCCCCAGCACGGCAGGGGCGCGCAGCACCCCACACTAGTAGCTAGCTGCCACTGGCATCCCGGCAGAGCCTGATCTTCTCATTTTCAACAGAAGCTGAAAAAAATGTATGTTGCAATGTGACAGCTCCTGATTTTTAAATGTTGGCAAGTAATTCACATTTTTCAACACTGCAAGCCAAGTAAATCACGTCTATGGAATGAATTCAGCCTGTGAGCTGCCAATCGGTGACCTCCATACAAAAGGGAATCTCTTTCCACATCATTCCCCATCACACTCACGCCACGCACACTTCACCAGGCCAAATGCAACTTCTTCCTTGGGTCACGGCTTAGAAGGAACTTCCTCAGGGAAGATGTCCCGGCTCTCCAACCCAGACTACGTTCCGACCCGTTTACCGTCTGTGTGTTTCCTCTATAGTACTTACCACAATTATAACTAAGCTGCCCCTTGTTCAATGTGTGTCCCCACCCCTCTGACTATAAACTTTGTGAGGGTAGGGATTATCACTATTTTGCTCAGCACTGTATCCCTAGCACCAAGTACTCAGCCCAGCTCATGGTAAGGACTCAAGAAATATAATGAGGGGCGCCTGGGTGGCTCGGTCGTTGAGCATCTGCCTTCGGCTCAGGTCACGGTCTCAGGGTTCTGCGATCGAGCCCCGCATCGGGCTCCCCGCTCCGCGGGAAGCCTGCTTCTCCCTCTCCCACTCCCCCTGCTTGTGTTCCCTCTCTTGCGGTCTCTCTCTCTGTCAAATAGATAAATAAAATCTTTTTTTTTTTTTAAAGATTTTATTTATCTGAGAGAGAGAGAACGAGAGACAGAGAGCACGAGAGGGAAGAGGGAAGAGGGCAGAGGGAGAAGCAGACCCCCTGCTGAGCAGGGAGCCCGATGCGGGACTCGATCCCGGGACTCCAGGATCATGACCTGAGCCGAAGGCAGTCGCCTAACCGACTGAGCCACCCAGGCGCCCCGATAAATAAAATCTTAAAAAAAAGAAATACGTTGAAAAGACAGAAAGCTCAAGATGGGATGTCTGGGTGGCTCAGCTGGTTAAGTGTCTGACTCTGGGTTTCGGCTCAGGTCATGATCTCAGGGTGGTAAGATCGAGCCCCATGTTAGCTGTACCCTCAGCGCACAGTCTGCTTGGGATTCTCTCCCTTTCCCTCTCCCTCCCACTCTGTCCCTCCCCTCTCCCCCCTCCCAGCACTCTCTCTCTCTCAAATAAATAAATAAATAAAATCAAAAAAAAGAAAAAGCAAGCTCAAGGGCATTTGCATTGAGCAGCTAATGTGAAATAAAAACAAATAGTGATAATCCTGTGACTCTTCATCTTCCCCCCTGCACTCCAGTCCTATGAGCCTCCTTGCTGTTCCCCAACACACCGTCCATAGGCCGGCCTGGGCCTGTGGTGCTCGCGGGGCCGTGTCCTCTGCCGCTACAAGAGCTCCTCCAGGTCACAGCTCAAATGTCCCCTTATCAGTGAGTCTTTCTCTGACCGTTCTATTAAAATAGCAACCCCCTTTCCTGGAGCTCCCTATCTCTCTTCCCAGCTTTATGCTTTAATTTTCTCCATAGCTCTTATCAGCAACTGCCATTCTATATATTTTCCTTATTTGCTCATTGTGTCTCCTCACTGGAATGTCAGCTCCATGAAGGCAGGGATTTGGGCCCGTTTTGCTCACCGCCCTATCTGCCACACCTAGTAGTCTGAGTAAATGTTCCTAGAAGGGCTCGGTAGACAATGCTTTCTCTGTGCTTTAAACTTTTTGAGGTCCTCTCACATGCCTAATTCCATCTGATCTTCACCAAAACCCTGTGTAGCTGCTTCTGTGGCCACCTGGAGCACAGATTTGACAGGGGGAAAAAAAAAGAAAAAAAAGAAAGGAAAACAAGGTGCATAGCAGCTTTATGTGGCTGGTCTAAGTTACAGAGACCCCAGGCCACTGAATCAGACCCAAATCTCAGGTCTCCTGGAGGGTAGCGCCTTGAGCCAGGATGGGGAGGACTCCAGGACAACACCCTCAGGGAGCCGCATGTGCATGCCTCCTAGCAATGAGAGCATTGTCATCCTCCTCCATGCCCACAGGGCACCCTGGGGATCCTTGTACTTAAACCTTCAGAGCTAGCAGCCTTGACATTTGTACTCACTAGGGGACACGGCGGGGGGGGGGGGGGGGGGGGGGGGGCCCGCAGACATGTGGAGCTTCAAGCAGACACCCAGAGGCCCACAAAAGAGAAGGCAGACTGGGGACCTCTCTGCATGCTGGAAACCCCCATCCCTAGTTCACCCTCAGCCCACTTCTCTCAGCATCCCTTCTCCCATACCCCACAGAGCAGCATGCCCTTCAACCCCTTCACACCACCAACAGCACCCTCTGGAGGGACAGATCAGAAATCCAAGACTTTGGGTCAGGTTGGCATTTGGAAAAAGTCACCAAAGGAAGCCTGGCTCCTCAAAATACTTCATTAGAAGCATGATCTTTGGAGCAAGACCAGGCTTCAAACCTGAGAGTAATTATGTGCTAGCCCACAGCCCTGAACACGTTACTACCTCCCTGCATCAGTTTCTTCATCTGTAAAATGGGAGTAGTAGTAGCTGTGAGGAAAGGATCCAACAGTATCTGTCACATAGTACACACTCGATAAATGAGTTCTTCTCCCCCACCCTACACCATTTTGGACCCAAAACTCTGCCACTGTCCAAGAAATGGAAAGACAAGTCATAAGCAAAAACACACATCTCCCCAGCCAGTCAGACACCTGGTTCTGTCAGTCCCTGTGTCCTCGGCTGTCAGTCCCCAGAGCTGCTGGAGACAGAGCCCAGAGTGAGCAGGTTTCCCACCACCCCCACCACGACATTTTACTTCATTCAGCCTCCTCCTACTCGCCAGTCCCCTGCCCTGTATTTACCACACGCACCCCCCGAATGGGCCAGACCTCTGTTCCCAAAGGACCTGTTTCTGGCTGTGTTCCCAGCCTCCTGGAAGCACATCCTAGTATCTGGCTCATACCCACAGAGGAAGGGGTAGACACTGTCCAGGAGAATGCATGACTGTCCCCAGAACACTCTGACCCCCCAGAGGGGATAGCTTCAGAGCTGTGTAATTGTCCAACTAACTGCAACCATCCCATCTGGAGCTCCACTCCAGGCATTGCCCACCTTGGAGAACTCACCAGGCTCCCAGCACTCCTGGCACCCCACACTAGGTCGGTATGACAAGGAACAGGGGAGGGCACTGTTCAAAGCCACAAAACTTCCCTATATGGTCCCCCAAACCTCACTGTCCAGAAACAACGCATCGCTATAAACCACAGACCACCTCCCTCTTCCCTAGGGACAGGCTCCTGAGCCTGTGCCTCTGACCTCCTCCTCCCCTGGGTCCTGGTCCCTTGCTCTCTCTCAGAGATCTGCGGCTCCAGGCACCGCTGGCTCCCACAGCCAGAGCCATATCCATTCAGCTTGGCAGTTGGAGGCCCAGTGCCTCCCAGATCTCAAGTCCCTCCCAACCCTGATTCTCCAGCCTAAGACCCAGAGTCTGAGGCAGGCCAAGGCCCAGCCCCAAGGATAGCTCTGCCCACTGCTTCTCCCAAACCCTCTTCCTGGCCACCTCGGTCTGTCCCTGCCCCTGCCCTCCTTGGCAGAAGGAGGCTCCAGGGGATTTAAAACGACTTCAGAAAGTTCATGGTAGAAGGCGCTGCCCAGGCAGAGCCCTTCAGTGCCAGCACCGCCCACCATGCTGGGAAGTGGGCCTCAATTCCAGGCCTTTCCAGATGTAGAGAAGCCTCCCCCAGGGCCTGTATCTGGAGGTCCGGGACTGCCTTCTCCTCCCTTCCCGATCCTTGGTCTCCCTGAAGCCTGCAGAAGGCTCCCACTTCCACGCCCAACCACACAACACCCCCCCACACACACCCAGGTTTTTCCACCTCACAGGAGTGTTCTGGTATAGGGGAGGGTATGGGAAGAGAGTCCCCACCGCCTGCTTCCACGTCTAGGTTTCCAGTCAGGCCCAGCTGAGAATCAAGTCTGCTCCCCCCTGCAGCGGGCCCTGACACCACCCTTTTCGTTGCCAAGGTCTGGGGCTAGGGGAGTGGAGGGAACTCTTGCAGGCAGAGGGCATCCCTCCTCCCAGGCTGCCCCCCTCCCCTAAACACAATCACACTCTACCCCAAACTCGGAGGCTCACCCCACAGCCCCGCTGCAAAAACCTCAGCCAGCCCCTCCCCCAGTACAAGCCTTTCCCCCGGGTCCCAGCAAGCTGGGCACTCGCTTCGGGTGGAGGAAGGGAGTGAAGGGTGGGAGCCTTGAGCCCCCCATCTCCTCCCTGATTTCTCTCTCCAGCCCCAACGGCCTCAGGCTCCCCTCCAAACACTATCGAGCCTCCCCATCGCGCGATTCCGTACCCGCAACAACAACAAAAACTCTCGGGAGCGGCGCGGGAGTCTTCACGCCCCCCGAGACCCGAGCGCCCCAGCGCCGCCGCTCCCCC